AATAGGTGAATGTGAGATTTCTAACGATTTTTACGTTTCCAATTCTTAAAGTCATAATCAAAGAAATATAATTTTCGGAAAATTCCCTCGCCACCCAAACAAATCTTGAGTAGAGATGACTGCAATTTGATTTCAATCAAACTAGAGACTATAGAACTGCACTGAAAGAATATAAATGGTCCCGGTTTTAGTTTGAAATCGGAACCAACAAAGTTTTGGTTCCATTTCCTTAAATATATGAAACTATGAAACCGATAATTTAAAACCAAAGCCAAACTATAGTCATATCTAGCCAGGAATGCAGTGGGAACAAGCTTCCCCTAACTTTTATTTTCCTTTTTTTTTTCTTTTTCTTTTTGGCTATGTAAAATGAAGAGCATGCAAGAAAAGTCATTTTCCAGACAATTGTCTCTGCAGATTATGTCTTTTTTCTTTTTTTTTTGGGTTCGTCGTTTTATAAAGACACAAATTTCTTCATGGACTGCGTGTTAGGTTTATTTATATATCTACTTAAGCAACTAAATTTATACTTTTGGCCTCACTTCTCTCCTTTGAAAACCGCATATATAATGCCAACGTTTTATTCTAAAAAATATTAGTGAAGGGGTAGATATGTAATATTAAATATTAATCAATAATATTCAAAGTTAAAATAGCTTAAAGTCCATAATTAGATAATATTTAATAATAAATTAATTATCCTGTAGTTTTGCACTAACAAAATTATACCGAGTCAATGTGGCGTGTTGTATATTTTAATTAATAAAAATAATAATTAATTAGCTTAATGGCAGCCTGTCAAGGTGACACGATTGGTCAATCGCTAAATAATAGGGGCATGTCGAGCATAAATAGGTTTGGAAATGTCAAAATTGTATTTATTTATATAACTTTTTGTAGTTGAAATAGTACGAATAAATATGGTTTATGGAGGTCCATTAATATTTCGTGTACTTTTCCGATAACACATCAAGTGATTAGGTTTGTATTTATAAAAATAATAATTATTGTTCAAAAGGGACGATTGAGAAGGTGAAATATGATTCACATATTTAAAAGATCATATGTTTGGTTTATGTAACATTCTCTTGGTCGATTCAATTGCACAGATATTCTTAATGCAATTTGTTATTTATTTCTTATTTTTTTATTTGCGAGTTGTCATATAAGATATAGTTGTTCAATACACATCAGTCTTTTTTGATAACATAGTTAGCTTATCAGTCAATTTTGACTTATTTGATTATTATTAGTTGTTTGACTTGATTAAACAACTAATATAATTGTTTGATTAATTAGCTTTGTGTAATAACTATTGCTCTAAAACGCTAAAATTCAAAAAGCTGTTCAAAACAGCTTTTTGTTTTTTCGATCATTTTTTTTAGAAAGCCATTTTGCATGTAATCAACTATCAGCTACCAACTAATTTACCAAACATCTTTCTACAAACAACTAATCTTTTCAATTCAAACTCACTAAGTTAGTCAGCTAACAGTTATTTACTAAACACTTCATTATTATTAGATTATAGGTATAAATTGCTCTCCTCACTAAAAAATAATAATTACTCCGTATTTGTTTTGTTGTGTTTTGCTTTTGTGAATTTAATTCGTTGGCCGACTTCAATTGCCAAATTAAAAAGTTAACGAGTTTAGTGTTTTATTTTTATTTTAATTTGTCCGACAGTTGGCAAACCTAACGTTTTTTTTTTTTCTTTCCTGAAATTAATAATCACAAATAGAGAATAGAGAATTAGAGATAATACTTGGACTTGAATTCAATATAGAACTTAATCTCGATAGGAGTATAAACGAGTCGAACGGTTTATTTAATGCTTAATTGAGTTTGATTAAATTTAAAATTTAATCAAATTAAAGATGACTCGTTAACTCTATTAAACACAAAAACCTCCACACCCCCACCCTCCCTTCCCCCCTCCCCCTCCCAAACTTTTTTATATAGAATGGAGGGAAAAATCTAAAAGCGCCCAATATTACAAGCTACTGAATTGGCCATGAATACTACGCCAAATGGAAATACCAGAGAGGTCATCCTCTAACAATCCTCTCACTGTGTCCCGTGGGTTAGATAGCACATGTAAGCCCACTGGGAAATTCCTGGAAAGCTTAGCTAGACTGTCAGCTACACGGTTTTGCTCACGAAGCACTACAACAACCTGCCACACCTCAAATTTCCTTAGTTCCTTCTTGCAAGCTTCCAGTATGTTGTGAGCAGTAATGCGTGGGAGCCACGCTCCTGAAATGTAGTTTACCACCTCATCCGAGTCGGATTCAAAGATTACCTTAGTGTAGCCTTGATCTATGGTTAGAAGAATACCTTTTAGGAGAGCCCAAGCTTTAGCTTCGAAGGGCGAGCAATTCCCAATAGAGTAGGTGAAACCAAACTTGAAAGCAAAGAATGGAGAGGGGAATCGAGGGTTGGGGCGAGGAATATGCCCATCACATATTTTTATTCCAATTCTCTCTGCTTGTGATATTATAAAATTATTTTTTTGCTATATATTACAATAACATCTACTCTAGTATGATAAAACTAATTCAGTTGAGTCTCATTCAGTTGGGTCTCATATACGTTTTAAAAAATTCATTGAATAAACAAGAGTTAGGTCAAATTTAAATTGGTAAGAGATCAACTCAATAAAGTGTAAATATTTGACAAATTTAGTCAAAATAATAATTGTATTATATTATTGTATCATAAATCTTGATTGAACTAAGAGAAATACCAAACGAAAATGACAAGTTGCCCACAATTCTAGCACATGACTACTTCTCCATCACTTATACCATATTTTATGACAATAAATTCACTTTTATTATTATTATTATTATTATTATTATTATTATTATTATTATTATTATTATTATTATTATTATTATTATTATTATTATTTAGCCCACCCGATAGATACGTTCTTATTCCAAATCATGTATAGAGGCCCAAATATATCATCGGTATGGAGTGTTTGGCACAAGAAATATTGGACCAACAACATAATTAGGTCAGTTAAAGCCCATACGTAAAGGATTAAAGGCCCAAAACATTTTCTCAAAAAGCCCAAAACATAGAAGAATAAATTGTTAGAAGATATCTTTTACACTACATATCACATACTCACTCTTATATCCCAAGTTTCAAATTATTATATAGTTTATGAATAAATAATAAATGGATTTGAACATTATGGGCAATAGTTATTGTGCGGACTGTGGTTCGTACAATTGTGCGGATTACGGTCTAAAAATGACATTGTTTTACGTAATTTTTTTCACGCAATTCACGGCGACATGTATTTTTATAACTCATAATGCATATTATCCTAACTCATAAAGTACATTATCTTACCCTATAAGTTTCATTATTCTAACACATAATGTACATTACTCCCCCCGTCCCATTTTATGTGTTTGGTTCGTTTAATAAGGCTTGACTAAAGTTATTTTTAATTCAATTTTTCATAATATTAAGTTTAGTATTAGTATACAAAATTTATATATTTAAAAAATACACTAAAAGTACTATTAAACACAAAAAATCAAATTTAAAAATAAGTAGAAAATACTAAAGAATATAAACAAAGAAGAAATGGTTGGTTTGACCAATGAATAATAAGTAGGACAGATAAAATGGGACAGAGGAAGTATATTATAACACATAGAGTACATTATTATAACACATAAAGTACATTATTCTAACTCAATCTATAAAATTCAATAACGTCAATTTTTACTATGGTCCACACAATAATTTGCCCATTATCATAATGGATCCAATTAAGCGCAAGTGGATTATCAAGCCCAATCTAATCGCTTTCAGTCGTTATATCCTGCACCGCGGTGCATAATCGATTATGTACCGCGCGTCAAAACGACGTTGTTTCTGCAGTTATAATGGAGTGACACTACAGTGTGTTTAAACCGACACTGTCTCACGTATTATTTTTATATTATCAAATGAAACTGCAGTTATATCAAAATGATATTGTAGTTGTGATGAAACGAAACTACAGTATATATAAAATAAAACTGAATAACATTTCACATATTTGAGTGTATATTGTACAATGAAGCTGTAATTATATTGAAATGATCATGTAGTTGTGCTTTAATGAAACTATAGTGTATATAAAATAAAATTAAATAACATTTTCACATATTTGAGTGTATAAATATTGAATGAAACTGTAGTTATATCGAAATGAAACTGTAGTTGTGTTGAACTGAAACTGTAGTGTATACAAAATGAAACTGAAGAACAGAGTTATTTTTTACGAAGATTCTGTTTCTTTTCATTAACAAAACGACGTCGTTTTGATGCGCGGTGCACGATATAATTTGCGAATCGCTTTAGTATGATCCAAATATGTATCACAATTTAGTTATGATTCAAGAAGCATAGTTGAAGCATCTCGAGTTAGTTTACAAGTAACAACTCACAAGAATTACTCAATAGATGGTCTCGGTAACTTGACTTAACTTTAAAAACTTCAATTCATCACCTTTTAAAAAGTGGTCAAGTAAATGAAATATTATTTTCGTACCTAAAAATTCATAAATTTAATGTCAACCAATCAAATAATATATAAATGTTGGGAGCTACTCATGTCAAGTTATTCGGACAGTTAGCTTGGTAATTACAATATTTCGAGATATATTGACTTAGTGTAAAAATTATTTATTAAATTTATTAATTTGAATTCATCAATTATGGAAGGGTCACAATGCAGATTTAGACGAGTTTCCTAAGAAGTGATTGTGCTTTAAAAAATAACTTAATATTTATAATAACTTATATAATGTCTATGTATTATTATTGTTAAAGATATTAAAAAAAAAAATATTTGATAGATTTATGTGTATGACAATAGTTAAAATAGATAACGAACAAAAACGCAGTTAGGCAGGCAAGGATACGCTTAACCAGCAGCGTATGCGTTGCGCAAGCTTTAACCGCCTCCTCCAATCCGATCCGCCTATATAATGTTCCCCTTTTATCCGATTTCCTCTTCTGTTTCATTTCTCGCTCGATCTTAACAAAATTATTATTATGTCGTCGGAAGGTGCGGAGTATCGGTGCTTCGTGGGTGGCCTTGCTTGGGCCACGACGGATCGCACCCTGGGCGATGCTTTCTCTCAGTTCGGCGAGGTCATCGAATCGAAGGTCCGTTTGTTTATCGCAGAGCAGTGATCGGATCCGATCCGGCCGATCCGATTCGCCTTAGCTTTGTTGACTTCACTTCATTCATCTCTATGTTACGTTACTCTCTGTTACTGCGTTACTTCACTTCATTCTATTTGTTACTATTATTCCTTTCCATTGAACGGTACGTTCCGTCTTCCTCTCCTTCAAGAGCTGAAGATCGATCGCTTTTTTTTTTTTTTTTTTTTTTTTTTGATGTTTGATTGAAATGAACTCTGTGGTTTTAATTTTTTGTTGTGGATCTGATCTGATGTGGTTGTGACTGTTTTGTTGGGATCAGATTATTAATGATCGTGAGACTGGGAGATCTAGGGGTTTCGGATTTGTGACGTTCAAGGACGAGCGATCCATGAGGGAAGCGATAGAGGGGATGAACGGCCAGATCCTAGACGGCCGTAACATCACCGTCAACGAGGCTCAGTCTCGCGGGAGCGGCGGCGGAGGTGGATTCCGCGGTGGAAGACGTGAAGGAGGAGGTGGCGGCGGCGGCTACGGCCGTCGCGAGGGTGGCTACGGCGGTGGCGGCCGTGGATATGGTGGTGGAGGCGGTTACGGCGGCGGTGATCGTGGATATGGTGGCGGAGGCGGTTACGGCGGAGGCGATCGTGGATATGGTGGCGGAGGCGATCGTGGATATGGTGGCGGAGGCGACCGTTACTCTAGGGGAGGCGGTGGTGCTTCGGACGGCAACTGGAGGAATTAGAAGTAGTTAACGTAGGAGTTTGAGTCTCTTGTAGTGTCCTTTTTCTGTATTCTTTTTATTTTTGTCCTCGAATGTGTTGGGTGGGCTTTGAATTTGTTATGGTTTTGATTTTTTTAAGGTACAATTGCTAATGTGGTACGTATTAGTCGGTAGGCGGTATAAATCCTGATGGTAACAAATGAACTTTCATAATTTTTTGAAGCGAACTGAGATTGGTCAAGTGGACTCCTACCACCTCGTGGTAGGGTATTGCTTTTCGATCAACTATACATTTGTATTCTCAAAACTTTTGTCTTGAATGAAAGCATGGTTGGTTTGGTGTCAAATTTGAATTTACATACATATATGAATGATCCGCCGGTTTGCATAAACATTCTCTAAATTAAGACTAATTAGGCATTGCATTCGGTATATATTTCCTTTTAATTTCCCAAAAAAGGTTATTTGTATTTGGATTGAATTCATGTTGTTTAACGTATGTTAACATCAAATCAAATGATAAAAACCGCCGGTTTCTGGTAGACAAATTCAATTGCATGCCTTCAAGGGATTTACGTTGATTTTGCAAAATATTATAATTGCATGCATACTTTCCAGTAAAGCAACAATGGCAAGTGTACTTGCGGAATTAATTGTTAGCCCACAAGATCCTCACTTTATAGTTATTCTAAATGTAAATCGCAAGTCGCATAATTAGTTTATCGGTTAGACCTTAGTATTTATGCAGGCATAAAGCAGGATTATACACCTTTCATCATTTTGTACCTTTCCCATTCATGATTTTTAAATTTTTGTATATGAATAGTCATCACTCTCTACACCTAGTGTAACACACACACACACACACACACACACACACACACACACATATATATATATATATATATATATATATATATATATATATATATATATATATATATATATATATATATATATATAGTTTGCGTACTATTATTAAGAGCGGATTTATTTCCTACTTAGTATGTTTACCTTTTCTGTATAATATGTGGGCTATTATCAAGTCAGGGTACGATTTATCAATACTCATATTTAAATAAGTAGTCACAATTTACATTTTCTGTATAGCTCGCGTATTTTTTTTTTTTTTTTGAGCAAAACAGGTAAAAATTTCATTAATGCTGTAAAATATCGGAAATACAACTCGGTGGAACTTGGGTCCACACTACTGAGCCAGCCATAGAACCGGTCGCCCGAGCTAACTCATGAGCTACACGATTCGTTGGTCTCCTGACATGGGAAACATGCACAATCCCAATGTCCATAGCAATCGAACGACATTGCTTAATATATAAACCAACATATGAAAAATCAACAGAACGAAAATGAAACTCATTACAGAAAAGTAAACAGTCTGATTCTAAAATGATATTATTCAAGCCCTGTTCCTTAATCCAAGTTAGAGCTTCCTTGGCCGCAAGAACCTCGGCAAAAAAAGGATCGTTCTCGCCATTGAGCCGTCCCAACTTAGCCGCAATGAATCGGCCATTCCAGTCGCGAATAACCGCTCCAAACCCCACTCCATCTTCAAATGTGGCAGTATCAACATTGCATTTGAGCACATTGATCGGCGTCAATGACCACTGTTGATTGGTATCCATGGCACCAGGCGCACATCGTGGAGTGACATAGGTCGCGAGCCACAGCTGCTGATTACGAAGCATACTGTCACGGGCCGATGTTGATACCGGAGTCCTATCATTCCAAACTGCTTCGTTTCTTGCCTGCCAGATCGTCCAGAAAACAGTAGCCATAACCATCGCCTCATCTATCTTCGCGTATAGCTCGCGTATTATTATTATACAATAATAACGAAATTTATCAGTGTACATTCTCGAATAGAGTATTATACACTTACATACTGGCAAGTGTAAGTGGATTAGTGGAATGCTTAATCCTCAAGTCATCGGCCTACTAATGAATATGTTGTAACGTGTTTTGCAACTTCTATAAACCAACTTTTCATGTGACAAAGCATTGATAGGATTTGCTGATGCATTTATTGCTATATGTAATATGTGGAAGCTAAGGTGTATAATTATTGGTCTAACTTTGGTGTTATGTGGCCTTCTACTATTGCTCTAGTACAAATAATAGGAATAATAATGTCAAAAAATTCAACAAACACTTTGAAAGTAGTGAATCCAAGCTAGGTTCATATGTATATATATAAAATAATTAAATCTGTCTCGTAAAAATTGTTTCCCAAGTTAAAGAAAGTAACTTAACATTAATCTAGTACATTTATGTATAAATATGAGGTTACAACTTAGAAGCTGCTGCCTTGGCTTCCAGCACTCCAGCAGAGCATAGAGCCATTAAAATCTATCCTTCCAATTTTCGCCACATTTTGATTCATTACTTGCTCCAAATAATAGCCAAAGAAATTCATCAATGGCGTCATCACAGTCGGATTATCACGGTGGCGGTTCGTGGACTGCCGAGCAAAACAAGGTGTTTGAAACGGCGCTGGCGGTGTACGACAAGGACACTCCCGACCGCTGGTCCAACGTTGCCAAGGCTGTCGGAGGGCATAAGACGCCGGAGGAAATGAGGCGACACTACCAAATCCTCGTACGAGATATCAAGTCTATTGAGAGCGGTCGCGTCCCCTTCCCCGCCTACTGGACTACCTCTAATGGTTACCAAACACATCCATAAGGTACGTACCATTAGCAAACTATTTTTTTTGAGTGATAAGAAAAATCTGCAGTCAATATTGAAAGTATACATGTGCTGGTCAATCACGCCTTGTGATAGGACCACTAGCTAGCTACTTCTACCTATAGAATTTGATAGGAAACACTTATCACATACTACACCAAAATTATAGCTTGTCTTTGTATACCGTGTCACATTTTTTAGAGTCAGAGTGTTGGACTTTAACCTTCACCTGCCTCTGCTCAAGAATTCCTAACCATTAATTACTGGACTTGGCAACCAACATGGTTGGCGTGGTGATTCAACACCTTATCCCTTAAGTATGAGGTTGGGGGTTTGATCCCCATCCATGTGAATTGAGCAAATCATTTGGTCAGTCCCCTACCACTTATTGTCCTGACAGTAAGGACATGGCCCAACTATATATATATATACCTGAAATCATTATTCAAAAATATACACTAAATAAACTTTACTCCCGCTAACTATATATATACCTGAATGCAGGTTAAGGAATCTAATTTTAACTCCAGAGAGATGAGGCACCTCGTCAGTACAATTTCAGTGTCGCATATTGTTTAAGCTGTACGCTAAATTTGTCGTAATTATATCAGCTGTATTTTCCCAAGTAGTGTTAATTAAATATTAGTGCATCTCTCGTTTTTCTTTTTGGTTTTATATTACAAACTAAAATTTTTATCATTCTATCTAAATCGGGCAATCTATGGCTGACAAGTGACAACATTTATGAAAATAAGGGGTTTCACGCCTTTTGAAAGATGTTCCAAAATATCTTCTTCTTAAAGGGTCGAATTCCCAATCAGCACCTAATCTGACAGAGCATTTAGGAGCGTATATGCCGGTGTGTATAAAGAATCTGTCTATTTTAAACATAATCCCCATACTGCTGTCGCCGAAATTCGAACTTTGATATCTTTTTTCAAATACTGTCTACTGCATTATTGAATTAAGTCTATGCAAGTATGTTACAAAATATCTAAACTAAGATATATAGGGGAATAAACAATTAGTCAGTACAACATAAAGATAACGTACACCAAAGACATTAGTATTAATTGTTCTAGAATCTAGTAATTAATTATTAGGAATCCTAGAACATGCATTAATTGGAGATGGAATGGCATCAAAATTCTCGAGGTCAATATCGCTAATTCGCCATGTGTATGGATTTTAATTCCATTATTATATTAATGTGTTTATTGTTCTGTTATGGTTGAACTTCAATATCCACTTTAGACTAAATTATTCGTAAGAAACTAGTTCAAATTGATAAAACTAATACATTATTCACATAAAAAAAATTGAACTTGAAACATTATGTTACATATACTAAATTAACAATTGGACCAACTCAAATGGGTTGCCCCAAATGAGTTCATTACTCTCATTATGAAAAATTTTTAAAGTTGTACATATTCCTAATTGAGATTATGATTTGGTTATGAAGTGTTATTATGATTGCACCACTTGGGTTATTATTATTATTACTATTACTATTATTTTCTACTATGGGCTTAAATTAAAGCATCTCAACTTCAGGTCCAATTTGGACTCATACAAGAACTATAACCCACACCTCTCACATGCATTTTTTTTTCTAAATAAAAAAAAATATATAATATTTTTATTCACAGATAATTAAACAGTGTCGGGGTTGGCACTTGGCAGATCAGAGTGTACTGTATAGTTGGTGACCAACCCACCGAGATATGGATTCTATGTGGACACCATCATAGAATGTAAATAGTAATATAATAAAGATATAATAATTGTTATATCTTGTATTGGATCTACCTTGTAAAATAGACATCTTATATAAATTTATTTTCAATATAATGCCGGTTCATTTTTATTATAGGTCCATCTTGATATGCAATGTATTAAAAATGTACATATAAAAAAAAATAACAAATATGTATTAAGTTTGATATTTGAATATGAACTCAGGCAATATAATTTGTGGAGATAAAGGACAGTGTTTGGAAAAGGAAAAGATATTTGAAGTGTAGTGTCAACTGTACTCATAGTTAAGAAGCTATCAATATAATGGTATATGGTAAAGCTAGCTGCTAGTGGCCATGCAAAAGGAAGCTAAGGTGGTTTTCCGTTAACGTAGCCCACAATATATAGAAAGCGATATATGGAAGAGATGACAATGAGAGGATAATATATGGGATATTATATATATATATATATATATATATATATATATATATATGTGTGTGTGTGTGTGTGTGTGTGTATTATATATATGGAGGCCAGCTGGTCCCATGCACTCATGCAAATTAACTTTTTAATGCCACAATTTTATCTAAATTGATAATTAAGATAATTAACTTGATAATTTTAAAGTTTTAAGTATATATATTATTTGACAGTTCATATTGTGATGTACATTTTAGAAGAGGCAAATAATAATAAGTTGTTGGAATCTGGCAATGGATACTCCAATCTACCATAAGACAAGTTGTGATGGGTCATACTCTACATTCCTATCCCCACACTCATTACTCTCTCACTTTTTTTTTTTTTTTTTTTTTTTAATAAAAATAATAAAAAAATTATTACATTTTTTGGGGTGGTGGGGAGGGGGGATTGAAGTTGAAAGATCCACTCTTCATCCTCCCAGAGTCCCAGGGCTCCTTTTCACCATCAAATTATTATCCTACTAATCCCAAACAAACATTATTCTTAATTATACCTTAAACTTTTATCAATCACATCAATTGTGAAATAAAAATATAAATATAATTGAGATCGATGTTGAAATCAAGACAACGATTCTGAACATGCAAGTCATAAATTCAAATCTTTTTTAAAGCTAAGATAAAAGAGTCTAAAGTAGAACAGAAAAAGTTATGTAATAAAATATCTCAACCATGATGGACATCTAATTAAGTGTCATCTTCCTAATCTAGTATTAAGTGTCCCATAATGTTTCTTAAGACTAGACAATGCCAAACAGGCAAACAGTGACCAATAAAAAAACACAAGAATAATCTGTTATATATGCTCTGTATAACCAACAGAAAATCTACTCTCTTTTAAGAAGTATATCACCACTATATCGGATGATGCCCTAATATGACTCCTTACAACCTTACATTTTACCCTGACCTATATATCTTTAAATTTCATATGGTCGTAATGAGAGTTAAAAGTTATTACTTTTTGTTGATATTATAGGTACTTTTTAAATTAAATTGATATAATTTTTTTAAAAGTTCAAAATATTATTTTGCAAAAGAATTAAAAAAAGTAACAATCAAAATAATAATGGGCATTGATCACATAATGGAGATTGAAAATGATGTGAAATCTTTTATGGATCATGTTGTCCCTTGATTGTGATGCACCCTTTCCTGAGTGGTCCATGAAGAAGTCTAATACGGAGTATAATATCACAAAAATTCATACACTGACCCATTCAACAAGCATCATTTTGTGTCTCACACACACACACACACACACACACACACACACACACACACATATATATATATATATATATATATATATATATATATATATAGAAATCCACTTGATCATATATATTGTATTGTGCATATATGCCTAAAACTTTATCCTTATGGTTGGGACAAAAGTCTACTATATAATTATGCTTAGCTTGTTCCAAACTCCAAGTGGAAACCATGCAATCAATCAAACAACTGTTAATCACACAATGATTTTACTATTTAATATGAAGCAAAATAGGGTAATAATAGGAAATGGTTGCAATATAATGGATCAATTGGTGATATATACTATATTACTATTTAGAGGTTAAATTTCAAATATAAGTAAATGAAAATAATTTCATGGCTAAGGGAGGCAAAAGATATGAGAATTACTTAGTTAGGAAGGCCGTGTCGTTTCTATGTTAAGCACACTCTACACTCTACTCTGCTTCGCTTGATTCGCTCCGATCATGTGTTAGTCCAACATATACAATCTACACCTGTACCGAGGCTCGAACCCTAGACCTCTCACATAGAAGAGCAACCGGATACCAGTGAACCACGAGAAAAATCATGCACGTCGCGGGTTTGACATGTCAGCTTTGAGGGGTCCAGCGACAAGCACGTATCAACGGGGACTAAAGAACGAGGACGACGACCTCGCATGGGCCATGGGATACCCAAAAGCCCAAATTGCAATTGGGCTTCTCCTTGTGGTCTCAAAACATTCTCACATGGCTAGTCGTGTCAACGTGGGCCCACTGACCATAGCCTAGCCTACGTTCCATGGCTCTTTGCCCCAGCCGAGTTGCTAATCAGCCAGCCACCCACTGGGGTTATCGTTTTCTTTCGCTCTCCAACTTCTTCATGCCAGTTTTTATCACAATCCCAATCCCATTCCCATTCCCATTCCCATTCCCACCACCTTTTCCATGCTCATATATTATATATATTCACCGCTCTTCAATTCGTCCTTCATGCATATTCTCTCTCTCTCTCTCTCTCTCTCAGCTCTCAGACAAGTTTTCCTGACAAGACATATTGCGTTAATTACAGTATATTAGAAAATATATAGTACGAGAAACCGGCGATCAGCTTATGGGTAGCAGTATGCTTTTCCCGCCGGTTCAATTGCAGGGTTTGATGAACTATGACGATCAGAATCTCATCCAGATTCTGGAGAATTATGGCTGGATTGAACGGCCCTCAGACATTGGAATCAATTACGCACTTTCCAGCTGCTCACCAGCCGCCACCTCTGCAGCTGGGAAAAAGAAAGATGACGCTTTTCCGCCGGAAAATCTGGGAAGAGAGAGCTTCAAGAGGAGAAAAACCGACAAGGTAAGATATTTTTCGTCGTACCGTTCCCTTTTCATACTGCAAATCACAATATTAGCTAACTCGGAATGAAATGAATGATCTTTGACAAATTTTTCAGGCAGTTGCAGTTGCAGAAGAGGAAAGAAAGGACAGGTGGAAGCAGAAAGGATGCCAAGAAGATGTCAGAAGTTCAGAGCAGACTGACAACAATAGTAAGAAAGAACATAGCACTGACACTTCCAAGGTAACACAAGACAAAAAGTCAGACTACATTCATGTCCGGGCACGACGGGGCCAAGCCACTGACAGTCATAGTTTAGCAGAAAGAGTAAGTTAGTTGGAAAACTAATTAGTATTCATCCTAGCTTCTCTACTAGATCAGATCAGATAGATTTTTTTTTTTTTTTTTTTAAAAAAAAAACTCAAATGCATACTGTGTTGAATTTGCAGGTGAGGAGGGAAAAAATCAGTGAGAGAATGAGATACCTGCAGGATCTAGTACCAGGGTGCAATAAGATCACTGGGAAAGCGGGAATGCTAGATGAGATAATCAACTATGTCCAGTCACTGCAAAAACAAGTAGAGGTATGAAAATCCAAAACCAGACATAATGACCCTACTATTCTACGTTTTTCAACTACATACTATATATGTTTTCAATGCTAAACTCTGCATTCATATCGACACAACAGTTCTTGTCAATGAAACTGGCTGCTGTTAATCCAAGACTCGATTTCAATATTGACAGTTTATTCACCAAAGAGGTAAAGAATGAATATATACAGTCAAGAAATAAATATTCTAGTAATGGAGGGAATCTTATTAAGCTTCTTGTTTTTTTATTATCTCCAGATGTTTCAATCTAGTCCATCTAATTTTCCCCCGGTTGGAATAATATCAGATGTGTCTACTCCTTCCAATCTGCTGCAATTAGTTGCATCTTTGGGATTGGAAATAGGCATAAGTCCTTCAGATATGCCTCTTAGAACAACCATTAATTCTCCTGTCTCACTACCCAAAACACTCCTCAATTCGTCCGCTATAAATGTAAGTATTTAGTCCCCATCTATATTCTATTATTCATGAATCATTATTTCACCCTAACATACTTTTACTTGAAAAAAGCAGCAGGGACAGACCTGTCCAATTTGGGATGGAGAGTTACAAAACCTGTATGCCATGGAGGTTCAACAAGGAAGATCACCATCCTTCACTTCACAGCCATTTATGGGTAAGCAGATCTAGCAAGTGCTCAAGTTTTTTACTTTTTTTCCTGTTACTGATAAAACCATAGAAAAAGGAGATAATCAGTGTAGAGATATCACTACATGATTGAGACCTGAGAAGCCCACAAAAAGTATAAGAGATTGCAAAAAGGAATAGTTGGGCCCTCTGATGTATGCCATGAAAGTGGCCTGTTAGGTATCTTTCTTTTTCCTTGTTTTCCAATTAAACAGATTTTCTTTTTTCCATATTGCAGGTTTTGTAGAAGGCAGTAATCCAAGGATGGAGATCTGAGCCGGAATTCAGATTCTTGAATCAGTTCTTTCAGAAGTTACCAAATACTAGCTGATTCTTTCTTCCAAGTACATAAACATATATGTCTGTATGTATACATAAGGTGTACAAATGTCATACTGGCAGTATGCTATCATTATTCAACTCTCATATTTTATAAAAAGAGAAGCTTTTGTATATACATATATATATATATATATATATCGAACAAGAAACCTGCAGTAGAAGTTTCAATTTAAGAAAGATAGTTTTGGCAATTGAGTAAAATATTACCTTTCTCTTCTTGATCCTGAATTCCATTGCCATGGCAGATGACAATTACATGTCTGCATCCACAACAGAAGAATCTAAAAACAGTTTTAAGGATGTATACCATACAGTGGCCATAGATTACGATAGCCAAATGGCACAAGTTGTTAATCATACTAGATTAAGAATGAAACTTGAACCATTCCAAGAGGGAAAAACAGAGAACAGCACCCAACAAGTGGACAACAATGGCCCTTATCTGGGACCGAAAGAGACATGTTGATTTAAGACCCTAGCAATAGACAACAAAACAACTGGTTTCAGAATAATAAATGATATTGAATGCTATGTTTCTCTACTCTACACAGAGGCTAAACATTCTAATCTTTTCCTTTACCACTATGTTGGGTCATGGTGACTTACCCAGTAAGTTGCATAGACTGAGTATCTCTGTATACATAATACAAGTACATGAGTATATGATGGGCTGCAATTGTCAATGGTGGCTAGTCAGTACTTAACCCATGCCTTACGCCATTGTCTGTGTTCATTGTTCCTGGTCTTCAATAACACTTCCTAGGCTTCAAATTCAAGCCATATACTAGAAGAGAAGGACCCACCACATCCCTAGACAAGATCTCCTAGCTGAAATGAAGGGCAAAGTTGGTTTTGTTTGCCCTATTTCAAGGGTCCATTGCCCTTGGTATGAAGGCTTTTTCTTCTTTATTGGCTATGTTTGGCAAATCTAGCTGAAAAGGTAGCTGAAAGTTGAAAAGCTATAAAGCTAGCGTTCTAAAATAAGCTCTTATTTTAAGCTAGGAGCTTATTTTGGGAACATTATCAAACAGAGCTTATAGTTTATTAGTAGCTTAAAATAAGCTATAAGCTCTACCAAACAGACTCATTATCCTCAAAAAGCTCTCTTCAAATATGTGGGTACAGTTAGATTAAGAGATAGGCTCAAATATTCAACAAACCAAAAGCATCCATCAAAAACTAATATGCCCTCAACAAAGATGAAATGTATACACAGTAAGCCAATCAATCATAATCATAAGATAGAATTGCACTGTCAACAAGTTAAGTGATTTTAACGACCTGTCTTAAATACATACATACAACATTAATGAATTACATATATCTTCCTATATCAATCAACAATACTTAGGAAGGAACCTAAATAAAACAGCTGCGGCTACTACTACTACATACATGACCATGAGCACTCATCACACGTAAAATGAAGTCAATCATCATTTGGGAATCAGGAGTTCCACTAGAGCACAGATTCATCACCAGCGCCTGTTTTGCATAGTATTATTAGTTTGAAATCCATAAACCATTACTATCTAAAGTTGCAGAGAGCCAGAATAGCAGGCAGGTTTACAAATGATACCTTTCCCAGGCACTATAATTACAGGGGCTGCTTTACAATTGTGAAAGCAATACTCACTTACACTTCCTTGCAAAACACTGAAAGGAAATATACAAGCAAATAAGGCATGTCATGAGACTGATAAAAAACAAAGGGCATGTCATGAGAAATGCACACAAGAAGAAACTAAGGAACAGGTACACGTGCCAATGACCTTGTGGTCTAGTGGCACGAAGTGGCCTCCTAAATGGGAGGTCATGGATTCAATTCCCAGTGGGGGCAATATTGACTCTTTGTGCTTCAGTAGGTTGAGAACAGATACTACATTGTAACAAGGTCAGTAGTACTCAAAAAAAAAAAAAAAAAAAAAAGGTACACGTGTTAATTTGTGCACATGCTTGCATGAGAGAGGGAGAATTACAGACCTTTGGAATAAGCTTCTGCCCCTTGTACCCATGACCAGAGCTGCAGGCTTCAACCTGTCTGCTTCCTTGCATATTGCCTTACCAGCATCTCCTTCCACAATCCTAGCCTTTGTCTTTACCTGTTACCACAACACACTCCAACGTTATTGACTTCGAAAGCAAAAACCGGAAAGTATATACCCTACTATTGACAAAAAAAACTAGAAAAATTAACACCCTTCAAAACCAAACATGCTGGGCCAATCATTGGCATTGATATGATTGTTTATATAAATTAGATTTTAGAGGATTACAGAATGCAGTACATTATCAGTTAGCTCCATGTTATTTCTAGCACATCACACATTTCATCAAACAATTGAATAATGAAACAGCTTTTGTTTGCCAAACACAACGAAAATAATTCTGTTGCATGAAAATCCAACACGACACGGATAAAGGAATAGACCCTGTTTGATAACAAGTTAGCATATCGGCCAATTTTAATATATTTGTCCACTATTAATTGTTTGACTTGGTTAAACATTCAATGTTTGATTAATTAGCTTTTTGTAACAGCTTATTGCTTCGAAATGTTAAAATTCAAAAACTGCTCAAAACAGTTTTTTCAATCAACTTTTTGGAAAAGTCATTTTGAATCAGCTAATACTCTAGCAGGTAATTTACCAAACATCTTTCTAAAAATCAGTTAATGCTATCAACTACTCAAACCCACTAATCCAATCATCTACAAGCTACTTACCAAACATCCCCATAGTCTAATAGGATAAACGCAGAAACATTTAAGAAATACTGTAAATAGTGAAGCATGTATTGAAGAGAAGACTTAGCACAATAAAATGGAAGCAGAGATTTTTAATTACCATGGCAACCTCAAAAGCTTCAACAGAAAGCTTCTCCATAAGTCCTTGTGTCATCTCGTACACAATCTCATTTCTCACGTCTAGCAAAAACATAAAAATTAGAAGAAAAAAAAAAAAAGGCAGAGTGCGTGAGATGGCGGAGGTAAATGAAATCATACTGGAGACGGCGTGGACGAGATGGATGGTATCGGCGAGACGGCAGAGATGAGTGACGGCCCAATCAAAAGCGTGCTTGCTGTTGGGGCCGTGATCGATAGCAATGATAATGTCGCGGCCTCTTCGCCGCTCCCCGGTCTCCCTGTCCAGTTCAGGCGGCGGAACCACCGGTATGAGCGAGGGAAGCACCACTTCCCTCCAATTGTACTCTTCGTTCTCCATCAAAGGCTCCATATTTCACTGGATTCGATAATAAGAATTAGGATTTTTGTTGAGTTCTCTTAAACGATAAAGTGAATGATGAACTTTCTGGTTCTGAGGATCATAAAAAGTAGCAAATTTTTTAAAGACTAGCGGGCGCCAGCCAGCCAGCAGCCAGTCTCCGCCGCCTCTTTTGAATTACGCGTCAAATCCACCACTATCAGGTATTATCGCGCTGGATTGAAGTATTCATATTTTTAATAGTCGTTGAATTGCTTACTAGATGTCGTATTGGAGAGAATAGCACGAGCAAAAATGGCGATTCTGGATTTGATTATTTTTCCCCTCCAAATATTAAGCACTTGTTAAACGTGATAAAAATAATAATAGTGTTAATATCTAATTTAATCTTTTAACCATTTTTTTTTAATTTTGTAGTAAATAATTTTTTGTACTTAATTAGATTTTCTCTTAAATTTGATAAATTTACTTAATTGAATTATCTGTTAAAATAATTTGATAAATTTATCTCTATTAATATCTAATTTTATCATCTACTATTTTAAAAATAAGTTCATATAATTAATCTTCAATTATAGTAATTTTATTCAAATTAATTCTGGACTATACTGATTTTTCACGATTAATTATTAATTTTAACAGGGTGGTTAAAATTATCAGAATCAAAGAATTTAATTAAGTAGACATTTAAGACTAAATAAAATTTTAAAAAAATTACTATAATTCAAAACTAAATTAGATATTAACTAGGAGGAAGGTTTTTAAAAATAAGTAGTAGTAGAAAGTGAGTGAGTTTCGGAAGCCGGAGCTCCGGTGGTTAGGACTTAGGATAACGACGGCGGTATGGAGATGAAGGCGGAGAAGAGCAAGATATTAGTAATCGGAGTAACAGGGCGGCTAGGTTTTGAGCTAGCTAAGGCCAGCATCAACGCCTCTCATCCTACATTCGGCCTCGTCAGAGACTCCGCATTTTCCGATCCCCACAAATCACAAAAACTTCACTTGCTCTCCCACTCCGGCGTCACGCTTCTTAAGGTTCCTCGTCTCTCTCTCTCTGTTCGTATTTCTGTTCACTATTGATTTTCATTTTGATTTTTGTGGTTTTGGCAGGGTTCATTGCAAGATGAAGAAAGCCTCATTGAAGCAATCAAGCGAGTTGATGTTGTAATATGTGCCGTTTCATCGAAGCAAGTCCCGGAGCAAAAGCTTCTTATTCCGGCTATCAAAAAAGCTGGTTGCGTCAAGGTAATCTTATCTATCCTATTCCATTAATCTTACAGCTATTTTTGGTGCCCTATAAATGTATGAGCATTGAATGAAACCTTGCCAAAAATCAGAAATTTTGGAGATAAACTTGCAGCTTTTCCTATTTTCTTCATGTTCTTAATGAGTTAGTATAGTGATTTTATTGGACCAAGAAAATGTCATGTTTACTGTCTTTCAATATGCTTGTAGAGGTTCATTCCTTCAGAATTTGGGTTGGATGCTGACAAAACACGGGTTTCCAACATGGATAACAACTTCTATTCAAATAAAGCTGAAATTAGGCGAATTGTTGAAGCTGAAGGCATTCCTTACACCTTGGTCTGCTGCAACTTCTTCACAAGTTATTTATTGCCATCGCTTGTTCAGCCAGGCCTGAAAGCCCCTCCAAGAGACAAAGTCAGTATATTTGGAGACGGAACTGTTAAAGGTCAGATGACATTCATATCAGCTTACTTTTGAGTTGTTACCGTTTTCTTGGATACTTCTCCTCACTTTAAATTCATATAAGCATTTACTGAATGCCCTTTCTTGCAAATGTCCAATAGCTTAAGACTTCCCATGGCTTAATACCCTAGTCTTGGACCAGACCAGGCATGTTATTTGTTATCTGTCAAAGTTTTAAGCTTGATTAATTTGGATGTATTCAAATTTGAGATGCTTTGACATCAAAATCAAAATACCGTTTTAGTAGTATAGTCTTGACTTTGCTTTTCCTACATCTTCTCCAGGTGTATTCATGAAGGAAAATGATGTTGCTGCTTTTACCATCAACACAGTGGATGATCCGCGAACATTGAATAAAGTGCTATACCTTAGGCCGCCTGGAAATGTATGTTCTATGAATGAGTTGGTTGAGATCTGGGAGGGAAAAATTAGTAAGAAACTGGAGAAGAACTATGTATCAGAAGAGGAACTCCTAATGAAGATTAAAGGTATTCCCACTATTTGGATTTCCATGCTCTGATTAGCTATCACTATCAGTGAACTTTAGCAGAAGCTTTGGCACTGATTTAGGATATATCTCCTTCCTTATATTTACCTTTCTCAGAGTTGTTTCGTTTCGTTTCAGCAACTCCCTATCCTGACAATATGGAGATGGTTTTCATATACTCTGCATTTGTCAAAGGGGATCAGACCTACTTTGATGTTGAACTGGAAGGGTCACAACTTTATCCACATACAAAATACACCACCATAAGCGAGTTTCTTGAAACGCTGGTGTAAGATCCCCTGTTGTGGAATATTCATCTACATTCGGAACTAGTATGTCTCTTTTAATGCATAGCGAGGTTTACAATTCATGCGAGTGCACTTTTCTTTAGTGTCATTGTTGCTTGGACTGGATTGTCAATGTCCTTTTATGAACCTTTCTGTGCAAGCTGGAGTGGAAATGGATATTCAAAACAAAGAATTCTGCGTTATAATCCAAAACCATTCACAGACAAATGAGACAATGTGAATGTTGTGTCAAAGGTTTGAGAAATTTAGTACCAGACAAGACCATATGTAAAGTTCACAATCTGACCAATATAGGGAAGAAAGCATTGATCATAGTCCAATACAATTGTAAAGCACACATATCAGTCATGATTGTAAACAGACTATAAAGTACAAATGCATCAAAATTTTTATCCTTTGTATGATGTATTAAAATAAGATGAGTTTGTGGGGCAAAAGGCCCCTGACAAAAATAATAGTTTGAGACTTTGCATCAAGGGAACTACATTTTTGTGACATCGTATTCAAATCCATATTGAACTAATAAAGTACAAATCCAAAATAACTAAAGATAAGCAGCAACCCAAGCCTCTTTTCTATCCATCTGGGGTTTGCCTCTTCATTGTTCCTCCCATCTCTCGATTCTTCCTTGGTGGGTAGAAGGTATCACAAGTTCAGTCTGCTCTGGAACTGCTGGCACTTGATGCCGCTTTTTTTCCACCACCGTACTTCTGTTACAATAACAGATGAAACCACCATGAGTATCACATAATCCAAAACTAACACTTAAAATTGCCCCAACTAGTTGTTAACTTGACTAATAATGCCTGCACAAGGAAATATACATACAAAATGATACAATCTAATGAGCGCACCTGCTTTCCAGTGTTAAATGGGATGTATTTATACTTGATCATGTGCATAATTTGGCGCTTCATCGTGAGCACAAAGAGAACAATCCAGTAGATCAACAATATTGGCCAAAAGACAGGGACGTCAAACAGGGAGAAGAAGGTCATGACGAATGCCACACAAAATGCCTTAGTGATAGCATACCTGAAACCAATAAAGAGAGAGAACAGCAAACATCATTGCAACATAAAGGTAAGATTTCGATCAACCCTTTCGCCATACTATAACTTCATACAGAACACCAAGAGTAGCATACAAGCTCTGGCCTATATTTCGTACTTGGCACCTAGGACTACCTCTACTTGTTCTCATGAGAGCAAATTTAGTTACTACTGCACATCTTAACCCTTCTATTCACCTGGATTACTACACCAACCTATTTTGTTGAACAAGCATACAATAAAATCTAAAAATAATGACAAAATCCAATATGCCAATATCCAAAACAAGTTGATTAGCATTAAAATCAAAATGAGAGCTAACAGATTATAGAATACCAAAACTTGAATTCTGGAAGCCGACGAATGAACGGCTTGAATTCATCTGAGCCTTTCGTAGGCAGCGTAGGACCATCTGAAGGTTCTAGCTCTGGGTCAGTAAGAGGTGACAGAAAACCAATCAGCAAATTCAGTAGGTAGATGCCAAGACCATAGCTCACAATGTAGAATCCTTGGATATAATAGACACGCAAAGCATAAAGACATGCTAAGGCGAAGGTCCCAATCCACCTATATAGAGCATGGGGTGTAGTTTTATCTAAATAATACTGGAATATCCTTGAAAAGTCATGCCTCCTTTGATTCAGTGCTGCAGCAGTTAACGGACCATCACCTCCAACGCCCTCCATAAAACCTCAATAGTGCAACACTGCAACCCCTACAAACTCCATCACACGGTAATTAGTCCACAATTTTAGTTCCGAAGCATACAAACAGATAGAGACACAAACATTGCAAGTCAGTCAGTTAAACTTTAGCCAAGCGATCTAGGTATTCCCAAAGGTCAAGAGACAACAATTAATTTGGGAGGCTCTGTTCAGTGCCCACTATCAGATGCCAGTACTTCAAAATCAACCTAACAAGGCCCCACAGAAGTTCAACCACTCATCAAAAGCAAGACTCTATAGTTGCATAAAGCTTATTCACTCAAACCAATTTGTCAAGCCCTTTGTACACGAAAAGGGAAACCTAGATGCAGTTTATATAATCACAAATTCAAAACCTCCCCTTCCCCAATAAGTTGCAAGTTGGAATGTCCTCCCCCTTCACACACCTCATTCTTTCTCAGCATCATTCAAACACTCATTCAGGAAATGCACAAGAAAAACAAAATAGCAATAAACCCTAAATCCATAACTAAAAGTACAAACAGCAGCACCAAAGCTAACAAAATAAAAAGCGAAGAAGAAGCAGATCTATAACTGAGCGATTAGATATCAGAGCCCCAATCTTTCCATGTAAAGACAGCACCCATTGCGTGTGTGTATTACTTACTACATATTAGGGATTTCACGTTTCATAGAATCGTAGAACAGAGCATATAAACATTAAATTAGGTTTAGTAAAAGGAAAGAAGGATGAAGAAGTAGACATACCTTGAAGTAAAAAGTGAGAAGAAGAGTGGATCTCTTTGGGAAGATCTTCTGATTCTTCTCAGCTCAACAACCACTGTTTTTATCTCTGCAACGGAGGGGCGGAGAGTTGAGAATTGCAGAAATTTTATTTTATTCATTTCAGCTGCCGTACGTTGTACATTTTGGTCATTTTACTTTCTTTTCTGTTCAAGTATCCTTGACTCTTTTCCTTTTTCCGGTCAGGCCAAATCTTTTCTTTTCATCGTTTTGGTGAGTAAATTTGTTCATTTTATTTATTTATTTATTTTGTGATTTAGTGATGAGCGAAATCCGCAGTTAAATTTAACTTTAAAAATTGAAATTTTAAAAGGTTACAGTACATTAAGTTGATTAATTTGTAAGCTAGGCTCTTTCGTTTTGTAAAGAGACACAATTTGTCTTCTAATTATACATTTATGCTACACTTGTAATCTAAATTTACAATAATTGATACAAGTCCCGAGCTTTGTAACATAATTTTTTTGTTGTTTATGTTTGTTTAACTGTTTAAAATATGTGATATAAATTAGACTCAAAATAAGATTCTAAAGTTACTAATCATATGAGTTCGATTTTTTGGGCTTACCAAATTACCTAATAACTTGTCCGTAAGAAAAAAAAAAAAAAAAAGATTATTACTTTATGGCGAACCACTATTCGAGGAGTCAAGAGTGTGTACCAAATAAACCATCATCTCTTGTGTAATAGTATGTCTTTCTCTCCTTTTTATACTGTGGACTACTAATAAATTCTGGAGTACATAATATGGCAAATTATACTGTAGACTAATAATAAATACGGAGTATTTAAATAAAAAATGAACATATTACACTAAAAATAATACACTCACTTACCCATTTATGTAAAGCTGATTGCGAGACAAATGATAAAGTGAATGAATAAGAAACATGTTTTAAGCATCAAGAACTTTTTACAACCATAGCCAAATGGCCAACCTTACATTATTATCATCGAAATTATACTATCTTACATATGATAGATATGGATATTGTACAATAGCAAGAATGCACCAGAAATGGTTGCATCCCTCAGTTTTATTCCCTCTGCTTCAACTGCCCTCTTCCTCTTTTCACAAGTCCCAGGTAAACTTCAACAAAACATCTCGGTTGCCACTTTTGTTTCTTCGGGAGAAGGAAAACCTCGATCATCCTAGACCGAAACATAACATCCCACGAATCGTTCTCCTCTGAGCCTTCTCCGTTGATACTATATGACGGTTCCATCAGGAATGGTTGCTTTCTCCATTATAATAGTAATCCCTGATCTGATGTAGAAACCTTCATCTGGGCGGTCTGATTCTTGAACACCCTGAGTTATTATTAAATGCACGCATTTTGTGAGTAAAAAAAAAGAAACTCAAATGAACTGGGGGAATGAAAAAGGAAATCCGGGATGAAGCTCACATCTTTATTCATGATGACAACGTCTTTCCCAATCCTTACATTCTTGTCGATGATAGCATTCCTGTGAAGAAAGCCACGATCAACGTTCTTAGAATTGGCACGAGGTACTAATGTAATGAATAGATTTCTGAATTTTATGATGTTTTATTACCTAATTTTTGTGTTTTCTCCAACCCCAATCGGGACATTTCCATCTGCCAGGAGCGAGGCAATTTCAGATTCTGTTTCATAGTTATCTGCTCCCATCATTAAAGTATCCTGAAACAACAAGATATGCCATTTTGGACTCGAACATACACAAACAGAATCTGAAATTGGACCGAAATATTGGACACTAACCTTCAGTTCAACACCACAATCTAAACGTGACCTTTCACCAATGATGGAGTGTTCCACAGTGCACTCTCGTAAGAAACACCCGTGGGAGATTATTGCATCCTTGATCTGAAAAAGCGTTCGAGTTCTTAGATTCAAGCACTCTGGATGGATTATCTAGAATATTCCACTTGGCAGATTACCTTGCAGTTATCGATTTTGGTTGGCGGTAGGAATCTCGGGGATGTGTAGAAAGGTGTCTTTGGATCATAGAACTCAAACTTCGGGAACTGCAACAAAGAACTATCTTAATTATTTTCAGAAGTAGAAATTTCGTTTAGTTTCTTGAAGAATATTTCTGGGACCAAAAAAGGGTATTTTAATGCATAGGCTATTCAACTATATATTATCGTGATAAAGACCTCTTCAGTCAGGGCCAAGTTAGCGTTATAGAAAGATTTTATTGTCCCGATGTCCTCCCAGTAGTCTCTGAAAATGTAAGCCTGTGCAGACAATTTCACCAAGTTAGTCCAACCAAAACGAGAAGATATCGAGTTCGTTTTATAGATAAATAGAAAACAAAACTTAATCGTTTCCTACTTGAACATTGTGCTCCTTCACAGCAGCGGGAAGAATCTCGGATCCAAAGTCGTTGGATGTGGGATATCTCCACCTCAGGAGCCTCAAAAGGACATCGGTCCTAAAGACATAAACGCCCATCGAAGCAATATAAGGATTTAATCTCGCATCTTGCGGGGGCAATCCCAAGAGAGTAGTATCCACTTGCTGCCAAACAACCGAAATAATTAATCAGATAAAAAGTATTAAATCCGAAGAGTGTAAAACGGTTCTAAGGGGCGATATGTTACTAGTTTCTTACCATTGCTTTTAGATCAGCACCTTTAGGCTTCTCGCAAAACTGGACAACTCTGCCCCTACGGTCAACTTTC